AGAAAAGTCTTTTTGCAAGTCTTTCGTCGAGTTTGTAAAGTTCAGAAAAACCAATTTTATCTGTATTGTATTGAATTAATTAAATTTCTTGAGCAGAAAATTAGAGCCTTACACCAGTAATTAACAGTTTATGCTTCAGTGGACTCACAACCCAACCTTATTTACATCTAATTGAACTATTTGAGAAACACAAAACTGGGTCCAATTCTAATTTAATTACTTGTATCTGTTCTGACGTTTGGTTCAAGCAAACATGATATTTTTTTTTACTCCCATCCATCCTACAGTGTGCAAAAAAGCCATGAACTGTGTCACATTCAAACACGAAAGTGTATTCAACACTGTTCTCACCCCAAAGTCAAAAAATAATAATAATTCCAACATTCCAACTCAAAAAAATATATTCAATTGCACTTCTCTAAACCCTTTATTCACAGAATGCCATAAAAATATGCGCAAGAAGAGGGAACTCACGATCAAAACATTATTTGTTATTTAGAGACACAGGTGCAGAAAGACGGAGTCTGTTCTGATCACGATGCTGACGTCACAGTTTGAACTTCAGGGATTAGTTGTGGGAGAAAAAAAAGGAGATGGACCAGTCGAGGCGAGGTAAGTGGGGGCATGACTCTGTGACATGCACAGAAATATTTTACAGTTTGTTTTGCCTCCACACCCGATTGACGGGCAGGTTGTTGTTGTTGTTGTTGTTGAACCTGCCACTGCGGTTGCTCCTCATGCCCAGGTACTGCCTCAGCAGCTGGTTCACTCGTTTCTGACTGTTCCACTTGCGGGCGGATTTCCTGACGCCTATGAAGCCGCCGTAGCGCTTCTGTAGAGGCCTCACGGGCGAGCCGATCAGCTTCCTGTAGCCGTGACGCCCCCTCTGAAAGCCACCGAAGCGCTTGGACAAGCTGACGCCCTCTGAGCTGTCATGGCGCTCGCCGTCGAGCTGGGCACGACTCTCCGAGTTCCTCTCCTCCCTCTGCTCCCTGTCTTCATCTGCCACACTGAGACCCTGCAGGCTGTCTCCCTCCTCCGAGGACTCCAGCACTGACGAGTCATACTGGACACTGCGCTGCTCCAAGGGGATCTCACCCACATCCTCCACTTGGAAACGCTTTGCGGACCGCAGCACCTCGCTGTCAGCGTTAAGGTCAAGAGGGGTCAGCTCCTCTCCAGCTCTCTTCAGCAACGAGCCCTCCTCAGAAAATAAAGGATGTTGGGAGAGCTTCGCAGCACGTTTGCACACTTCCCATGTGAGTGAGGAGGAGACATGACCCTCACATTCCAACAGACACACCTGCAGAATGAGAAGACTTTGTTAAACCCTTTTCACGCGATGACACACTGACACTGATCACACACTGATTACAACAGGTTCAACAGATAATAAGACAATAATTGTGGGTCTAAGTCAAACTGTCTGTAGAACATTTTAATGCTGGGTCCAATACGTCATTGTAACAACAGAGGCTAATTATAAAGTTTAACTACATAAACAGCAGAATCAAGGTCAAACCAGCATAAAATGGCAACTATACTATATATATGAATTAATTAAAGGTCGAAATATTAACTTCTGAGTAATGTTTCTTTCACTGAGCGACAAAGAAAATAAAAATCAAATAAAACAAGAGTACAAAAAGTAAAAAGGAAGGGAATTAGACAATTTAAATGAACACCAGTTTACAGTCAGTTATTAAAAATGTTCACAGGGGAGAGATTTTATTTATTTATTTTTAGTTTTTTTTTTTTTTTTTGAGGGGGGTATCACACAACTGCTGTCAAATACTCGCTCAACAGAGAACAAACACATCAGGATAGACATTAATATCAAAAAGGGAGGTGAGAGACTGTTGTGCTCTAGAGCAGTGT